AGAAGTTCAAAGCAAAATCTGCAGTTAGCTATACCTTACAGTGTTATCTCTGGCAATTACTGTCTGATTAGTAATTTTTATTGTCATCCTATGAACCGGACAAATCCTCTTGTCATTCTTGTTTGGATCATTCTTTCCACATTGTGACGATGCATCCGATTTTCATTATCGTTAGTATGGTCTTTAAAAAAAAAAAACTATTTACTGCACCTTCCTTATCGTAGATCAGTTCACTAGCTACTAGTATCAAAAAACCAAACAGTCAAGTCTGTCAGCTTGTTGTCCCATCCCCATGCCACCTTTCCCCTACGATTAAAAAACTGTCGTAATAGGAAGCACGTATTTAAAAGCACACATACAACTGGCAATCTTTGAAGCTTTGAATGTCACTCATGTCTGTCTTCTCCTTTCTCAGCACTTTTTGTAAAACATTTTCTATCACATGTGAGCTTTTCATTGAACTCGCTTAAAGCTGTTGCGACCGCCTCAATCTCCATTCTCAAGCTGGATCTGTACGCAATACACATCTACAGCTAACGAAACCATGAGGCCGTAGAAGCGTGCCATGGCTCATAGTACACATGTTCCTCCAGCGATGCACTTTCGTAATGTGTTTGTCTCACATTCAATTGCCGACATGGCAATTATAGTTTTGTAATTAATTGATTATTGTCAGTGAGCCCTTTAATCTGTTTACTTGTTTCTATGAGTTCTTCCCACGCACATTTGTTTATAATATTTACTTAGACTAGTTTTGCACACCAGAAACCATATTTCCTAATGTAAGCAGACTGGCTCGCGTTCGGAAATATGTAAACAGTTAAATACTCACTCTGTATTTGTCTATCCGCTCCCGATGTCGACCTCAGCTTTTTATGAACAAAATGGCTGGTACAAACGATTTTAAATACGTTATGAGTACATCAAATAATATTCAGTTTAATTTAAATTAAACCTAATTTGTGTGTAAATATATATATATATATATATAGAGTTGTGTGTGTGTGTGTGTTAACGTTATTCAGACCAGGGTGAGCAATAATAATGAATCTCTGAGGCTAACACGCTCACATTTTACTAACTTCTCTGGCCTTGGAAACTGAAATGTTTTGGGGCATATCACGCACCACTGTGGACAGGAGAGGACAGTAGCATATGGTATAGCACAAGGAGGGAGGGTACAGGTTGAAAGACCGCCTCCGTGCGCGCGTGTATATATATATATATATATATATATATATAGACATGTGTGTGTGTGTTTGTATGTTTGTATTATGTGTGTGTGTTCGTGCTCGTAAGTATATGTTTATGCATGTGGGCGTGTGTGTCCGTATGTATCTATGCATCTTTGTTTATGTGTATATATGTGTGTCTATGTGTGTGATGAAGGCTTTTTTAGTTAATGTACAAAACAGTTGTGTAATATTTGTTAGGCAGTAGCTAGAAATCAACTGAGAAATGTCCTGAAAACGACTTTTCCCAGCAAATATCAGGTAAATACGTCATTGCGCAACAGGTTCTTCAAAGAACGTCGCTCTCATCACAGTCCGACTGAAAGAAACTCGCACCTTATGTACTTCTTTCTATAAGAAAGTCACTTATATCCTGCCCCCATCTTCATGGTGGTCGGCCCATGCCCCTCCTTCTGGTAAAATGCCTTCTGCTATTGTTTAATTCAATCCCCCATTACGCTTGATATGACCGAAATATGTGTGCTTTCGAGGCAAGATGAAATTAATTAGCCAATCTTCATTGATCTTTAGATCTTTTAAAATGTCAGCATTTCCTATTTTTTTTTTTTTTTTTTTTGGTCCATAGTATTTTAATAATGTGTCCATAGTATTTTAATAATCTGTCTGTAGCATTTCAGCTCAAAAGACCCCTATTTTCTTTCTCAAGGTCCTAGGATGTAGTCTTCGATTCACATTCATATGTTGCTTTAGGGAAGAGGCAAGCTCTAAAAAATTTTTACTTCGATTTCCTTGCTGGTGCTTAACCATAGAACTGTAATGTTTTTTATGGTAAATGCGACAGTGGTACATTATAAATATTTTCAAGGTAGTCAAAGAATCTCAAAACAAGCGGTTCCGTAGGAAACAAATGGGTTGAAGAAGGACGGAAGTCCTAAACTACAGCGAATTTTAATGAGAGGTGGCTCGGTTATCGGACTTGGTTTCCATACACAAAACTGAAGGAATTACAGTGACTTCTTCTTCTTCTGTGTTTTCTTCTTTCACATTGTACCTCAGTATAGTGTCGTCGCAAGGGAAAAAAAAGGGGGGGGGGGGGGGGGGGGAAGGATCTCATTCGTTGATGAGGTCTGTCAAGAGCACTATTAATTATGATGTTCATTTTTATAAGACTGTTGTTATTGTGGTGACTGAAAGGATAAAAGGATTAATATACACTACATAACATTTATCAGCAACTGTTAAGAAACATAAAAAAATACGAAAGACATATGTATAGTTTCAAAATCAGGTTACATTTTCTTTTCAAGTTATAATGTTATTTCCATATCAACGTATGCCAGTTAAAGTTGAGGAACCCAGAAAGCGGATATATGAAGACATTTTGAGTTAGAAAATGAATGAGGCGGAGAGCTAACGAGAGACGAGAGTTTTCCTCAGCGGGGTTTAGAGGACGTTTAGCATTGCTTAAACAATGATCATGCTGACATCAGTAAAGCCATTTCACATTTCCTGGTATTTATATGAATCTTTTAATGGCATAAGCCAGTTTTCCGGTAACATTAACCGTTACACAGCGATCACTGCTGAAAAGGAAGGAATTACGTCTATACATATGGACAAAGAAAGTACATATATAAGCTATGTTATGTTTTACGGTGGTAAATTTGAAACACAAAGACACAAACACATGCATCTACAATTTATTGTCTAGAGTATGTTGCTGTATGTATGTATGTCTGTCTCTGTCTGTGCGTGTTTGCGCGTGTGTGTGTGAGTATGTATATGTACATGCATGTATGTGTGTATAAGTATGTATTATGTGTGTATGTATGAATGTATGTATGTATGTATGTATGTATGTATGTATGTATGTATGTATGTATGTATGTATGTATGTATGTATGTATGTATGTATGTATGTATGTATGTATGTATGTATGTATGTATGTATGTCTGTCTGTCTGTCTGTCTGTCTGTATGTCTGTCTGTCTGTCTGTCTGTCTGTCTGTCTGTCTGTCTGTCTGTCTGTCTGTCTGTCTGTCTGTCTGTCTGTCTGTCTGTCTGTCTGTCTGTCTGTCTGTCTGTCTGTCTGTCTGTCTGTCTGTCTGTCTGTCTGTCTGTCTGTCTGTCTGTCTGTCTGTCTGTCTGTCTGTCTGTCTGTCTGTCTGTCTGTCTGTCTGTCTGTCTGTCTGTCTGTCTGTCTGTCTGTCTGTCTGTCTGTCCTGTCTGTCTGTCTGTCTGTCTGTCTGTCTGTCTGTCTGTCTGTCTGTCTGTCTGTCTGTCTGTCTGTCTGTCTGTCTGTCTGTCTGTCTGTCTGTCTGTCTGTCTGTCTGTCTGTCTGTCTGTATGTATGTATGTATGTATGTATGTATGTATGTATGTATGTATGTATGTATGTATGTATGTATGTATGTATGTATGTATGTATGTATGTATGTATGTATGTATGTATGTATGCATGTATGTATGTATGCAAACAAACAAAAAAGGAACATATAGCGCAAACCGTACTGTGAACATGAGGCAGACCCAGGTTTCAATGCGCTGTTGACGGCATTGAGCAATGGAAATGCTCCAGACTTGCATACGTCGATGAAATCATCCAGATCCAGAGTCCAGACACTGACACCCCCGAAACCAGAGTTGATGGCGTAACAAGCCTGTGAACAAACTGTTATCATTTTTTCCCTTCACAAACGTTTCAAAAACACATCTTTAGCCGTGTTCGGTGGGCTGCCGTGGTTTAGTGGCTACACGCTCGCTTGCGAAGGTTGTGGTTTCGGGTCACGACGGAGTCAGACATTTTCTTTTAATTGACATTGGTTGAGAGGGTACCAAGTGATGTTCCAGGAAGTAAAAGTATCTATCGAGACGCTGACCACCCCCCCCCCCCCCAACCAACTGCCGATTGATCTATACTATACAGATTTAACCCTTGGTGCCCAAAACGCCTGAATGCGTAAAAAATAGTTCTTTAGTGACTGACATTGCCGTACATGGCTACAAGTACACCATGCTGGTAAGCTGTTACATGTACGGTTCTTATAACTGTTTAGAGGTGGAAAGGAGTTATCTAACATTTGTCCTTTTGGTTTGCCAATCTGATAAGTCTTCCACATCGTCTGCATCTGCTCCTGCTTCTTCTTCTTCTTCTTCTTCTTCTTCCTCTTCTTCTTCTTCTTCTTCTTCTTCTTCTTCTTCTTCTTCTTCTTCTTCTTCTTCTTCTTCTTCTTCTTCTTCTTCTTCTTCTTCTTCTTCTTCTTCTTCTTCTTCTTCTTCTTCTTCTTCTTCTTCTTCTTCTTCTTCTTCTTCTTCTTCTTCTTCTTCTTCTTCTTCTTCTTCTTCTTCTTCTTCTTCTTCTTCTTCTTCTTCTTCTTCTTCTTCTTCTTCTTCTTCTTCATTTTCTTCTTCTTCTTCTTCTTCTTCTTCTTCTTCTTTTTCTTCTCTTCTTCTTCTTCTTCTTCTTCTTCTTCTTCTTCTTCTTCTTCTTCTTCTTCTTCTTCTTCTTCTTCTTCTTCTTCTTATTCTTCTTCTTCTTCTTCTTCTTCTTCTTCTTCTTCTTCTTCTTCTTCTTCTTCTTCTTCTTCTTCTTCTTCTTCTTCTTCTTCTTCTTCTTCTTCTTCTTCTTCTTCTTCTTCTTCTTCTTCTTCTTCTTCTTCTTCTTCTTCTTCTTCTTCTTCTTCTTCTTCTTTATCTTCTTCTTCTTTTTCTTCTTCATTTATTTCTTCTTCTTTTTTTTCTCCATCACATAAGAAAAAGAAGGAAAGGAAGAAGAAGCAGAAAGCTCATACTCTGACAGTGACTCACCTTAACCCTGACACTTGTTGGGTCCTCGAATCCTACCCACTCGTAATCTTTGAATGCGTAAGGGACCTTTTGGGAGGGAGCATATAATTTCTTTGCACCATTTCTAATGAATAAGCAGACCTGAAAGAACAGAAAAGCAATATTTGCATGTATCCTTTGAAAGAGGTCGTAGTCCAAGCCCAGCTTTGGATGGCTGTGTTTTGTTTCACAGGGCATCTCTACGTTGTATAGTTTGCTATTGCCAAAGTCACTGTCGACGATTATACAGTTGTCAAAATCAGTCTAAGAGTTGCATATCTATAATTCACAATTTTAACTTCTAAAGGATATGACAAAATGTATATTCATAAACTTTTGTTACATTAACAAATCATAAAACATATTTTGAACAACCTCCAACCCTACCTATCTCAATGGACCTTCCCTGCCATTCCCCCCCCCCCCCCTCTTAGCCTCAGAAAAGAAAAAAAAACAAACGCAATCAAAATCTGTATCTCTAGGGCTGTAAATGTTTCATTACAGTTTCAGAATTCGCACTGATTCCTGGTTACATATTAAAGAATGGACATTATAGCACACCAGGCATGCACATAGATGGAACGGAGTTATCTAACATTTGCCCTTTTGGTTTGCCAATCTGATAAGTCTTCCACATCGTCTGCATCTGCTCCTGCTAAAGCTTCTTCTTCTTCTTCTTCTTCTTCTTCTTCTTCTTCTTCTTCTTCTTCTTCTTCTTCTTCTTCTTCTTCTTCTTCTTCTTCTTCTTCTTCTTCTTCTTCTTCTTCTTCTTCTTCTTCTTCTTCTTCTTCTTCTTCTTCTTCTTCTTCTTCTTCTTCTTCTTCTTCTTCTTCTTCTTCTTCTTCTTCTTCTTCTTCTTCTTCTTCTTCTTCTTTTCTTCTTCTCTTCTTCTTCTTCTTCTTCTTCTTCTTCTTTTCTTCTTCTTCTTCTTCTTCTTCTTCTTCTTCTTCTTCTTCTTCTTCTTCTTTCTTCTTCTTCTTCTTCTTCTTCTTCTTCTTCTCTTCTTCTTCTTCTTCTTCTTCTTCTTCTTCTTCTTCTTCTTCTTCTTCTTCTTCTTCTTCTTCTTCTTCTTCTTCTTCTTCTTCTTCTTCTTCTCTTCTTCTTCTTCTTTTCTTCTTCTTCTTCTTTTTCTTCTTTCTTCTCTTCTTCTTCTTTTTCTTCTTCTTCTCTTCTTCTTCTTCTTCTTCTTCTTCTTCTTCTTCTTCTTCTTCTTCTTTCTTCTTCTTCTTCTTCTTCTTCTTCTTCTTCTTCTTCTTCTTCTTCTTCTTCTTCTTCTTCTTCTTCTTTTCTTCTTCTTCTTCTTCTTCTTCTTCTTCTTCTTCTTCTTCTTCTTCTTCTTCTTCTTTCTTCTTCTTCTTCTTCTTCTTCTTCTCCTCTTCTTCTTCGTCTTCTTCTTCTTCTTCTTCTTCTTCTTCTTCTTTTTCTTCTTCTTCTCCTCCTTCTTTTTCTTCTTCTTCTTCTTCTTCTTCTTCTCTCTTCTTTCTTCTTCTTCTTCTTCTTCTTCTTTCTTCTTCTTCTTCTTCTTCTTCTTCTTCTTCTTCTTCTTCTTTTTCTTTCTCTTCTTCTTCTTCTTCTTCTTCTTCTTCTTCTTCTGCTTCTTCTTCTTCTTCTTTTTCTTCTTCTTCTTCATCTTTTTCTTCTTCTTTTTTTTTTCTCCATCACATAAGAAAAAGAAGGAGAGGAAGAAGAAGCAGAAAGCTCAAACTCTGTCAGTGACTCACCTTAACCCTGACACCATTTGGGTCCTCGAATCCTACCCACTCGTAATCTTTGAATGCGTAAGGGACCCTTTGGGAGGGAGCATATAATTTCTTTGCACCATTTCTAATGAATAAGCAGACCTGCAGCAAATGTCTTGAGGGTTAGATGAAAACTGCTTCCTTAATACACTGATTTTACACACATTGTCCTCTTTCCTCACAAGTCCTTCCTTGTCGGACAAACTCCTAATTCTTTGTTCACATATTTTTATTCATGTTATTTCATTTAACCTCGTGTTTTCTATCAACATGAGCCGTATATGGTCTTCATAGGGTCTCCCTTGTCTACTGCCAGTTTTCAGATAGCTATCGCTTTTGTAGCCAGATAATTAACTCTTTCAATTCCTCGCACTCCTGCATATCCCGGACAGCACATCCAAGTGATTCCCTGTAATACTGACGTACTGATGCTTGGTATCCACTAATGCCACATATGTCCATTTTTAACCTTCAGCAGTACAAACTGCTATCTCAGAGCTGCAGTGAATGCCTCTAACACACTAATGCTTGAAGCTGTAGATTAAAAAAAAAAAAAAAGCTTCATTTTCTTCTACCACGATCATTTTTTTTTTCTTCAAGCTGAAAATCTCTAGCCCGAACTTACAATACGATGGACAGAACCAACTATTGCATCATTTTGCTCAGCACTTTTAACTATTAGTTGTTGTACATCTCATTCTGCCTTACCGCGACACCCCTCCATCCATTCTCTTCCTAATTTGATAATTACCTCATGGAACTGCTATTGCGGGGTTTATTTCGACCCATTCCTACCTTTTGTGTATGCGCTCGACTGAAGCCGATGTTCCGATATCTTTAGCTAGGGCCAACCACAACTTTCCTTTTTCTCAGCCGATCTCCTCTCAAATAGTTCAGATTGCAGCGGCTGGTACCATTACTATTAAAGTCTGCTCTGGATGCTGATGATGGGAACGGAGCGCATATGGGAATGCCCCGAGTGCTGTGCTGTCAATTCTTGACGCAACTCAACTCAGATTGTAGCTGATGCCTTTCATTATTTGCTCTCATATAGGCCTTGGCTAGCTCCAGTGACAGTCTAGACTTTACCGATGCCAGTACAGGCATATACCTCATTGTTCTAATTGGTGTATCTCATGAGCAACCTAAGACGATTCTCATGTTTTTATTTTTAACCCGTTCAAGTTTTGAGCTGTGACATATGTATGGTTACAGTTCCTAGGCTGTAATCAATTACTGAAAGGACCAAATAGTTAAACAATAAGACCAAAAGTCTCTGCTCCATGTTTTTCAGTGCCACGCTTGCATTTGATGGTGGGCTGGCATTAACAGATGATGCAATTAATAACACCCTATTTTCCCCATCAGAGAATTGGCAAGTAACACTACTGAAGTATCAGTGTGAAACAGACGCGAGGGTCCGACTGAAAGTATACCAGTTAAGACCACTTTGAAGCAGAAGTAAACTGTGTCCCCTTTCTATAGGACTATACCCATCTATTATAGAAATAGTCGCATAATTCTGAACTAAATATTGACAAAATATTACAGAACATAAATCTGAACGCAGCTCATTGTAAACAAACAACGAAGAAATCAAAGAATCAGCATTTAGGTAGTAATCGTTATTTATAATAAGATACCAGTAAATTGGAGTGGTTGAATGTTTTGATCGAAAAGTACTACATAAACAAAGATGTGTTGTTGTTTTTTTTTTCTATGTTTTTCTGTCAAATAGTGAGGTTGAACTGCCCACATCCATCCATTTATAATCAAAATATATGATGTTCTGTTGATTAGTATTTAAAAAAATGGTCATTTGTATATGAAAAAATACATATATATCTACAATGTTAAGGACTTAAAATGTGTCAAAGCACAAATATTTTTGCCTTTCATTATTTGCTCTCATATAGGCCTTGGCTAGCTCCAGTGACAGTCTAGACTTTACCGATGCCAGTACAGGCATATACCTCATTGTTCTAATTGGTGTATCTCATGAGCAACCTAAGACGATTCTCATGTTTTTATTTTTAACCCGTTCAAGTTTTGAGCTGTGACATATGTATGGTTACAGTTCCTAGGCTGTAATCAATTACTGAAAGGACCAAATAGTTAAACAATAAGACCAAATGTCTCTGCTCCATGTTTTTCAGTGCCACGCTTGCATTTGATGGTGGGCTGGCATGAACAGATGCTGCAATTAATAACACCCTATTTTCCCCATCAGAGAATTGGCAAGTAACACTACTGAAGTATCAGTGTGAAACAGACGCGAGGGTCCGACTGAAAGTATACCAGTTAAGACCGCTTTGAAGCAGTAAGAATAAACTCACAGGGAGCAAGTACAGCGGGGATCTACAGTCATCAGTAGAAATTATCCTCTTTCGACACACGTTTCGGCCCACGATTCCTAAACGTATTCGGAGGTGGGCCCACCTGAGTTCATGAAGCTCAGGGCTGCTTCCCCGCTGCACAGAATTACCGGATGGTGTTATTATTTCGGCCAGAGACAAAGGACGACTTAGTGGTTTTCGAAGGAGGTACTGTGAGATAAGAAGTCGCCGCGGCAGCGTAAATTAGAACAGTCCGCATGCCTGGACGACCGAGCGACAAGCTTACTTTGGTTTACCGGACACATGTTGGACTTTTATTAGCAGTTGGCAGAGGGACACTGGCAGACAATTCGTACAACGATGGACTTTTCAAAGGAGGATAAGAAACTCTTTCCACTAGACACCCGGATCAGCTCACCGAGGCCCGTCCCCTACGTGTTTGCGCTGCGTCCAAAGCCAGCTCGAGGCCCTTTCGGCTGCCTCACCCAGTTTTTTAAGTGTTCGTTTCCGTTCATTACCGCGCAATCCTAGTTCTTTAAACCACATTGTAGAGCGAAGTGGAAACGAGGCCTCTCGCTCCCACTTCGACGGCAAATACCCGTACTGTGTAAGCCTCGTCTCTCCTCAAACCGGCTGCTAAATCACTGTACTTTTCGAGCTTGTACAAGTGATTCTCCTCCATACGCGACTCAAACGGGACCGTCAACTCAATCAGGATGAGTTGCCGTTTTTGCGCAGAATGAAGAACGATGTCCGGTCGCAGGCCGGTTTTACGGATCAACTCGGGATACCGTTCATGTCCTGGCAGATCAACCGCCAGTAACCAGCAGAAGTAAACTGTGTCCCCTTTCTATAGGACTATACCCATCTATTATAGAAATAGTCTTTGGTGTAAAGGTTTAGAACTTCACATATTGTATACCACGTCATGCACGGCCATAACAGCATTTTTTTCATAAACGTACCTAACGAAACCTGAGAAGGATAATTTAGATGAACTCAAAAAGGTGTGAATGACTGAAATAAAAAGGGGTTTGTGGGTGGCATTGTGGGGAAAGCAAGAATGGACCCACTGCCTCCTCAAAAAACATGTCGTAGGAGTCGACTAATAGAGGACGTCCTTCGAAGTCGGAAAACAGTACCTAAGTGTCAAGAAACAACCAGCTGCACACAGATGTCAGTAAAACGAATGTAAATGCAAAACCAAGGCTCAAATTAAAAGTCCAAATAGGCAAACAAACAGGACTTTTCAGAAGAAGAGACAGAAGAAGAAGCAAAAACGCCGAATCTTACAGACGGTCAACAAAAAGAAGAAGGAAGACACACACAAAAAAAGAAGAAGAAGAAGAAAAGACGAAAGAGACGAAGAAGAAGAAGAGAAAGAGGAAGGAGGAGGAAGAAGAAGAAAAAGAAGAAGAAGAAGAAGAAGAAGAAGAAGAAGAAGAAGAAGAAGAAGAAGAATAAGAAAGAAGAAGAAGAAGAAGAAGAAAGAAGAAGAAAAGAAGAAGAAGAAGAAGAAGAAGAAGAAAGAAGAAGAAGAAGAAGAAGAAGAAGAAGAAGAAGAAGAAGAAGAAGAAGAAGAAGAAGAAGAAGAAAGAAGAAGAAGAGAAGAAGAAGAAGAGAAGAAGAAGAAGAAGAAGAAGAAGAAGAAGAAGAAGAAGAAGAAGTAGAAAAAGAAGAAGAAGAAGAAGAAGAAGAAGAAAGAAGAAGAAGAAGAAGAAGAAGAAGAAGAAGAAGAAGAAGAAGAAGAAGAAAGAAGAAGAAGAAGAAGAAGAAGAAGAAGAAGAAGAAGAAGAAGAAAAGAAGAAGAAGAAGAAGAAAAAGAAGGAGGAGAAGAAGAAGAAGGAGAAGATGCTGATAAGGAAGGAAGAAGAAGAAGAAGAAGAAGAAGAAGAAAAAGAAAAAGAAGAAGATGAAGAAGAAGAAAAAGAGGGAGGATAAGAAGGAGAAGATGATGATAAGGAACAAAAAGAAAAAGAAGAAGAAAAAGAAGAAGAAGAAGAAGAAGAAAAGAAGAACCCCACTAGAACCAGACACCGAGCGATTAACACCCTGCAAAGAAAAGTGCAATGCATCATTATTCGAATGAGAAATTTCCAGTTCAAATCCCAGAAACAACGTTCATCCATATGTTTAGATTAGGGTACCCGACAGTTGAGAAGTTAGTGAAATCCTGCCGGTGTTAGCTGAAATATAACAGGTATATAGTACTGTAAGATATAAACAGACATGGGATACCACAGGCAGAAAAGTATCGCGCTATAAAGATCCCGGGTGAAGGCCTCATGTGTCAAAAGCGAAATAAAGAGGGTCTTGAATAGAGAGCCTATATTGGGAACCCGTCTGAGTTCAGGTGCACTTGGGTGTTACTTCCTAAATCACACTCACACGCGCGCACACACACACGCACACACAAAGAATTACACACACACACATTGAGATTGATTGGTCTATTAAACTTGAGAGTAGCACCATGTACCCCATAATCTCCAAGACGCGGATAATATACCTTTTTTTAAAGTCGATGTCTATTATGTACTGTAGTTCAGTTGTTTAATCCTTTTTATCGCTGCTTGAAATTCACAAACCAGAATGTATATAAAACAATGCATTAGATAAAAACCGGAGAGGAATAATAGGTTGCACAAAGTCGTTATGGTGCATGTCATATGTGACCTGACCGGTGGCGGGCAATGTTTCTTCTGCAAATTGTGAGTATGTCACTGTCAGCATATCCAGCTCAGTGTTCAGGAGACACACACGTGAGATTAGCATTATTCCAAAAACTCTGTCTGGCCAATCAGAAACAGTAAACTAACCGAAACATAAAGATATCAACGATGAAAACAATGATTCCAGTAATCATGTGAGTCCTGACAACAATTGTTCTTGTAGCTGGCACATTTCCGCTGTTCCGGTCATGTTATGTTATATGTTATATTGGCGATGGCGAATCTCTGTAGCACAACGCCTGAGCAGTATTGTAGAGACCACGTGTTGCCTATGCATCATAATCCCTCTCTTTACCTGCCTTGTTTACTACAAAGGTAGGTAACACCACTAGGTTTGGAGTAAAGCACACTGTAAAAGGTGCCAACCAAAAAACAGTGCTCTATCTGTCCGCGTATCGAAGCCTCCCTCCTAAACCACCACCTAGCAAAGATTGAATGCAGGGTCTGTCCTGTCAAAACAAACAGGCTGCATTTCCTTTTTCCTAGGAACGGCTAGTATTCTCCCCAGTACGCTCCTTCAGCCGAAGCCATTGGCACGATGTGGGACATCAGGTTTGACAATCGCTCATCGTGTATGCCCTGAGAACAAGAATATAAAAATACAACACTGACATAAAGAACGGATCTGGAAACAATGATCTTGGTTCCTAGGTCAACCTGGCGCAAAAAAAAAAAAAAAACAGCATGGATTGTCATGAGAAATAAATAAAGCCGGTGGAATCGATGTTGTCAACATCTCGACTGAGTGCCCTTAGTCTTCAAATATATAAACACAGGGTCATACGTTCGATACAAAATAGGCGTAAAAAAAAAAAAGATGCGTTACTTCCAGTAACAACAAAACATGCAACTATGCGCCTTACTTAGTGTACACACGAATAATTACAACCATACTTGCCTCGTAGTATGCCAACATTCCATTTACTCCCGTATATTTGCCTGCAGGTCCTGCTCCACTTACTGGAGCTCCCAACCCATAGTCCTTAGGATTTCTTAGTTGAAACGATACGCCGTAGGTGGGAATGCCGATGTTAATCATATGCCTTGGCACTCCCAGTATCGTATACGTGTGAGCAATGTACTCCTGTCAATACACAATTAAAAAGGCAAACATGTTTCACAGTTTTCTTTCAAATGAACGTAAGTGGAAATGTCAGTGTAATGCTCACGCAATAACAAGTGTTGTCGGCTCATGACCAACTCCACACCTCTAGAAAAAGTGTCCTTAGGCTACTCCTTTAACCGCACAATGCCGAAAGATCTGAAACTGGCAGTAAGCAGGCAAAGACCATACACTATACTCATTACTGTAAATCGTGTTGTTTTTCATCTCGTTGTTGTTGTTGTTATTCTTCTTCTTCTTCTTCTTCTTCTTCTTCTTCTTCTTCTTCTTCTTCTTCTTCTTCTTCTTCTTCTTCTTCTTCTTCTTCTTCTTTTCTCTTCTTCTTCTTCTTCTTCTTCTTCTTCTTCTTCTTCTTCTTCTTCTTCTTCTTCTTCTTCTTCTTCTTCTTCTTCTTCTTCTTTCTTCTTCTTCTTCTTCTTCTTCTTCTTCTTCTTCTTCTTCTTCTTCTTCTTCTTCTTCTTCTTCTTCTTCTTCTTCTTCTTCTTCTTCTTCTTCTTCTTCTTCTTCTTCTTCTTCTTCTTCTTCTTCTTCATCTTCTTCTTCTACTTCTCGCACACATCGTTTTAGCAGATATTAATAATAAAATATAAAAGGCATCATCAACAACATCTTTGTAAGAATGTGCTCTAAGTATGTGGAGCATGTAGTCTGTACTGAGATAATGTTCGGAAAGCTTCCAAATGTATTTATAGTGACTGTTAATATTTTTGATTGATTTTGGTAATTGGTTCCACAGATGAGCTCAAGAGTACGCCAAGTTTGTTTTGTACAAGTCTACTCTAGGAATGTGTAATATGTTTAGGCGTTTGCTATGTCGCCCATTAGACTTGAAGAAGTGTTGACGAGGGACCTAGTATCATTCACGTTGTGATGGCAGCCATGTTCTGTAAAGGAGATCCTTACACGATAATGACTGTAAATGAAACGTTACAACGTAGGCGGGAGTACTGATTTTAATTATATAATTTAGACTTCACGAAACAAATAGATCTGAGCCTTCATACACATCCGCTCACTGGGGCTAGACAGTTTACCTACAGATTGGAAGGTTGTGGGATTAATTCCCCCACCCCCTGACTTTGTTTTCACCTTCTTCTTTTAAAATGTTCGGGTAGAATTGGCTAAAATGTGTACCAGGTAATGTCCTGGGAAGTCCTGGGAAGTAAAGGCGGTCTGTATTTGGCTGACCACATTACCAATCGAGTGCCGATCTGTCTATAAAGTATAGGACTAGCCCTATATACCCAATATTTATTAATCACCTGCTCACGATTTAGTGTTGTACTGATAGAGTGTTAGGGGCTTCGTAATCTCGAGGCATTGTGTCCGACTAGAGGTTCCGGGTTCAATCCCCTGGTTTTTTTCCATGTGGACTTGGACTTCTAGTAATTCCCCCTGGTCTTTATGCAGTGAGATCAGACGCATGTGTGCATGTTGCGTGCGTAAAAAATCCCTTGGCAGCTGGATATCGAAAAACGTAGCCTAACGGCTCTGCCCAGGCTAAATTTATAGTTACAAATCTAAACAAAGTATTTCAGGATCTTCGCAGAGTGCACTGCGCTGAGCTTATTCGGAAAAAGATTTCAGTTAGAAGTAAAACTGAGCACTAATGGGTTACTACCTGTGTGCTATGATGATGATCCAATGTTCAAGTCTCAACTCTCAAACCTGATAGAGTTATATCAGTACAAACATGAAATTTAGAAAGCCTCAGACATTTTATAGTACTGTGATACGACACACAGTACTTGCTGGGTGTAAATGATCTACAATACAATGCGGACAGGTCGAATCAATGCATGAGATTCACGGCAATAGCTATTTAAGGGTAGAAAATGTACTTAAAGTAAAGGACTCTTTCCACACTTTTAGGCGTATTGGGCATAAAAGGCTAGTCCTATATTTATTATAGAAAAAACAGCACTGGGTGGGTGATGTGTTCAGCATCACGCCAGCCGCCTTTAATTCCCAATACTGTACCTTGTACCCACTAAAGGCTGGGTCGACCTGGGAGCCAAGGTCAATTTTAAAAAAAAAAAAGTCTGTACGAAAATATATAGAATTACAAATAGACCCGCGCCGAGTTGATTGATTTGTGTTATACTTTTTTTTTTTTCACGGGATAGTAATCTTCAAGCGCTAATTTATTTATTAAAGTGAGGATACCAGTATATTTTAAACAAGAGAGACTAAAATTCAAGAAAAATGTTCACCACATTCAGCGAGGCTTCTTCGCTAGTATCATACTCATTCGCGTATAGTGGCGAATTCATGCCGGTTTTTACATCCCATTTGCCGTGAAAGTCGATACATACACATACATACCATACATACATACATTACATACATACATAAATGAACCATACATACTATACAACCACTAAACAATACATACATACTTACTATACATACATACATACATACATACATACAACATACATACATACATACATACATACATACACTACATTCAACCATCCATACATTACTACATAAATACATTACATTACCATACATACAATACATACATACATACATACAATACATACCAGACATACAATACATACATACAGACATACATACATACATACATACATACATACATACATACATACATAAATACAGACATACATACCAGAACATAACATACATACATTACATACATACATACATTTTTTTTTTTTACATACACTACATACCATACAGATCATACATACATACATACATACATTAACATACAATAAATACCATACCTACATACATACATACATACATACATACATACATACATACAGTACATACTACATACATAAATACATAACAGACATACCTACATTATCATACATAACATACATACATACATCCATACATACATACATACATACATACATACATAACATACATACATACAGACATACATACATACATACCTACTACATACATACATACATACATACATAACACACATTACATACATAATTACCTACACTTACATCATACCTACATACATAACATACAGACATACATACATACATACATACCATACATACATACAATACATACATACATACAATACTATACATACATAACATACAATACATACATACAACTACAGACATACATACATACATACATACGACATAATCCATACATTAAGACCTACATACATACATACATACATACATACAATACATACATACATACATACAGACATACATGACATAGCATACATACATACATTTACATACATAAATATACATACATTACATACATATATACATACATACCATACATTACAGACATACATACATACGTACATACATACATACATTTATTTCCAGAATACGTGCATACATAATACATACGTACAGTACATACATTAATACATGCATACATGCATACAATACATACAACAGACATACATACATTACATCAATACATACAAACATACATACATACATACCATACATTACATACATACATACATACATACATACACTACATACATAACATACATACCACCTACAATAACATACAAATAAAACATACATACAATACATACATACATACATACATACATACATACATACATACATACATACATACATACATACATACCATACCTCCATACATGACATACATACATAACATACATACATACAATACCTCATACATCCATACATACATACATAAATACATACATACAATACATACATACATTACATACATTACATACATACATACAATACATACATACATACCATCCCATACAACATACATACATACATACAGACAGACATACATACATACATACATACATAAAAACATACATACAAAGACAGACATTACATACATACATATTTACATTAATACGTGCAATACAATAAATACCATACGTTACATTACATACATCCATCCATACATGCATACATAACATACATACATACATACATACATACATAGCATACATACATACATACAATACATCCATACATACATACATACATACATACATACATACATACATACCTACCATACATACGTTACATAACATACATAACATACATACATGCATACATTGCATGTATGCATGCCATGCATGCATGCATGCATGCATGCAGGCATGCATTGCATGCATGCATGCAATACATGCATGCATGCATGCATGTCATGCATGCAGGCATACCATAACGACTACATACATACATACATACATACATACATACATTACATTAACATACAATACATACATCATACCTAACATACATACCTACATACATTACATACATACATACAATACATACATACATACATACATACATACACCCACTAATACATACAACATACATAATACCTACAGACATACATAAACATACATACACAAATACATTACATCCATACATAACATACATACATACATACATACCAGACATACATACTATACATACATATATACATACATACATACATCATACATACATACGTACATAAACAAAGAATCACTAGACGTTTCACGTGTACGTGTTTACATAATTTGTAATACAAACCTACATACAAACACTTATATATATATATATACTATATATATATATATTAATATATAATAGTTATATATATATATATAATGTAATATATGTGTGTGTGGGTGTGTGTTTGTGGTGGAACCATACAGAAAAACATACATGCACGTGTGTATGTTTTATATACTAATGAGTGTCTGGAAGTATGTATGTGTGTGTGTTGGTGCATGTATATGAATTATGTATGTTCCCATCTTCTTTTTTTTCCTCTAACTGAAATGCTGTCTCTAGTATGAACTTCACTGTCTGTTGCATTTTATATTATTGTACGTGTTATCCATTTTGATATTTATTTATATATGTGCACCACATGTACATACATACAGACAAACATATACACATATATACATACGAACATACCTTACACTTTGACCCTGAAATGTACAAGAAGATCAATATGAATTGACATAAAACATTTACACATACATCTGACGACGAGTGTGCTTAATCAGACAGACTGGCAGGCAGACAGGTCTACAGTAAAATGGTATCATTTGCTATTGTGAAATTATAGTAAAGTAGAAAGGATCGGAACTGATGTTTGAACTTACATTACCATAGAGACGAGGTTTTCTCCATAGTCGTTGTGGATTCGTTCGGCATTGGCAGTCAAAGCAGTTGTTAGAATTAACCTGGCCTGATTACTGGCGATCGCGTCTTCATCAAAGGCATTTCGTAAAGCCTGTGAAAAGCGTAACATTTAATATAGATTTATTAGTGTAAGATATATATGATATTGTAGAGAGTATATATGTATATATATATATATATATATTCCACACAGGGGGAACGACACTGATACATACATCCATACATATAGACAAACATATCATACATACAGACATAACAGACCTTACATTACATATATACATACATAAATACCTGCACATATACATGCATAATTCATTACCAAAATACATACAGACATACATATAGCATAACATACATACGTACATACCTACATTACAGACACACAATACATACTAGTACGTACAGACATACATACTACTTACCTACCATACATACGGACCGAAATCCATAATGACATACTATACGTACATACATACCATACATACATACATGACATACATACATACATACATACCATACATACATTACATACATACATCAATTACATACATCATACAATACATACATACATACATCCATACAATACCATACATACATAACATACATACATACATACATACCATACATACATACATTACATAAATCCATACATACATACATACATAACATACATACATCCATACATACCTATCATTACCTACATACATACATACTTACATACATACATACATACATTACAGACATACATACATACAAACATACATATACACATACATACATACCATCCATACCACTACATACATACATACCTACATACATACATACATACATCACAATACATACATACATACATACATACAGACAGACATACCATACATACATACATACATACATCCATGCATGCATGCATGCATGCATGCAATGCATGTCATGCATTCATAACATGCATGCATGCATACATACATAATACATACAGACATACATACATACATACATACAATACATACATACATACATAATAACATACAATACATCCATACATACCACACACACCTACACACAACTACAACCCACACACACACAACCAACACACCACACACACACACACACCACACACACACACTAACCACACACAACACACACAACACACACACACACACACCACACACACACACAACACACACACACAAACACACACAGAACATACAGACATACATACATAACATACCATACATACACACCATACCTACCTAAATACATACATACATACATACATACATACTACATCATACATCCATACATAACATACATACCTACATACATTAACATACATACATACATACATACATACATACATACATACACACATACATACATACATACATACATACATACATACAGACATACAGCATACCATACATTACATACTACATACCTACATAACATACATACATAATTACATAACATACATAACATACATACATACATACATAAATACAGTAACATAACATAAATACATTACATACATACATACATACATACATACATACATACATACATACATACATACATACATACATACATTGATTACTATTAAGAGTTATAAGACATGCATGCTGGTTCTATATTGGACACTTCCTTAGAGGAAATAAGAAGAGAATCAGCAGGCAGGCACAATGTGATACAAAAAAATGACTTAGTAAGTGTGAATTACCGAGGGACCTAAGAGGGAAGAGGAGTTGGACAGACTTGAATCCATGATTTGGAATGTATTGTACAGATTAAAATGGAATTGAAGAATATATTGCGTGCTCTTTGTGACATATAATGGCTTATATTATCGTGGCAGGGTGCCAGAGAATATCTGCTGATTTTGTTCGAAAAGGACTTATTAACTAAAAATCTGGCCAGTGGCAGGCTCGTCAAGTTTATAAAATTCCTGATCTGCGCTGTAGCGCTTTCTCCCGGTGTGTTTTCGGCTGGCCGTGGTCAGTTGCACAGTCGTTGCTGATGCTGATCGCACGTGGCACCATCCCGGCACAGGTGCGATTGATCGAGCCGAGGTAGAGAGTTCGGCATGTTAATTACAGCAGTGGTATGTTCTATGGTTAGCTTCGGTCTTGTCGGCTCAATGGCTAAGTCGATGCTAAAGCTTCGAAATGCCGGAATGCCGGGTTCGATCCCAGCTGCGGGCCATGAGCCTTGCGTTGGTTTCGACAGTGGTATCAAGAAAGCCGACTGTCCAGTAGGCAATGGCAAACTGCTCGACTTAAATTTGCCTAGAAAAACCACACAACAGCCAGTGGCTGTTAAGTTTGGTTCTGCAACAGCTTCGGTCTTAGACATAAATTTGTGTAGACCCCGATTATAGTGTGTGATGTGGCTTGGAGTTTAAGTCACTAGAGGCGAACTTTCACAGTTGTTAGCGGCGGTGCTTGACACGTGGACTATGTAAACACGATGTTGATTGTTAATGTTTTGTTATTTTTGAACTGCGTGAGTTTTGTATTCAATGAAAAAAAAAAAAACAGATGTTGAATGTGATGGTTAAATTCATTTGCTTGATTCAAGATAGAAATGTAGTCCATGCAAGTGCTAAGCCTAGGCCGTGCCTATGTAGCAATATGTAGTTGTAGTCAGTATTTGTGTAATATTATTATTCACATATTCTTTACCAAGGCTTTAATGACAATATTTCATCGAACATGCATAGAAGAATCATTGTCTTTTCTTTACCTTTCATGCGTTTGCTGTTCAGCGGGTAACTATTTATTGTCCTTACCACATTTTCTTTTCCCCGTCTTCCTACTTGTGTGTTTTATTTCTGTTTCCCGCTGGTACATTGATGTATATATATTAAATTCATTGAATTAACTGAATTAAAGCAAACTACTTTAGTGATCATTTTCTAGTTATAGAAAAGATTCGTATAAAACTAAAAATTCCTAAGAAAACACCGAAAAACATCAAATTAAAAATAGGAATACTTAGAACGGATAAAGAAATTAGGAAACAGTATAGTCTCACTGTACAAAACCGGTAAACTGCAATGGAAATTATACAGACTATTGATGAACAGTGCGATATGTTGCATGAGTCAATTCAGCAAACATCAAAACAGACTATTCCCTAACCAATAGGGTTGCAAAAATTTAAATAAATAATAAACAATGGATGTGAACTGAAACTCTGCAGTTAGTGGATAAAAGAAGGAGATAAAGAATGATAAAGAAGAATATTATAGAATACAAAAAAGAAATAGTAAACAAATGCAAAGTAGCTAAAAAAGCCTGGCTGTATGAAATGTGTATAGATGTTAGGAGAAATCACAGGAAAGACTCACATTCCATGTACCAACAGATAAATATAACAACAGAAAAGATGAGACGTAATTGCTCTGGATGTTTAAAATCAATAGATGATGACTTATTATTGGGACATAGTAATATAATTAACAGATAGACAGAGTATATAGGGTAACTGCATGATGATAATAGACCAGATGTAGAATTGCAGGACAACAATGAGGGTCTAACAAAACTCGCTTCAGAAGCTGAAGATGCAAACTTTACAAGAAGAAAGGAAAAGCACCTGCGCCAGACATCTCACTAGAAGAAATCGAAGCACTTGGAGATTTTGGAATTCAAATTAAAAACTAAACTTTTAAATGATATTTACCAAATGATCTTTTAAAATCCATATTATAGCTCTGCCAAAGAAACCAGGCACTTCAGAATGTGAAGACCATTGCACAATAAGTCTTATGAGTCACATGACTAAGATGTTACTCAGAATAAGTATGAGGAGAATAAGAAACACAGTTAAACCAGAAATCAGCCATGAACAATGTGGATTTGTAGAATGAAAAGGTAACAATAAAATATTCAACCTAAGGACATTGTCAGAAAGAGCCTTAGAAGTAAAGACTGATTTGTACATATGCATTTGACTGTTTGAAGCATGAAGAAGTAATCCCACTGTTAGAAAAATCAAACATTGGTGGAAAAGATATACGACTAATAAAGAACATGTAATGACAGCAAACAGCAGCTTTAGGAATTAATAGTTTAGGTACATTTAAGTGCATAAAGAGGGGCGTACGACAAGGATTTGTACTGTGAACTGATTTTTTTTTCAGTATCCAGTAAATATATAATGAGAATTTAAATTGAAATGTCTGTAATTGTGGTTGGTAGGCATAATTTAATAATTTACGTTAAGCTGATGAGACAGTCTTGATAGCAACGAGTCAGAAGGATCTACAGGAAATAACAGACATTGTGGCGGCAGCGAGTGGAAAATAGACCTCAGTTTAAATAATGAAAAGGCAGAAATAATGGTTAAATAAAAGAAACGAAATATTTCTAAATGTGTGATAAACGTCAATAGTGTTATTTTGGGACACGCACAGAAATTTAAGTATCTGGGCACATGGATAACATCAGATGGAAGATGCATCACCGAGATAAGAAAAAAAACATACGACAGACACAGACTGCATTTTAGAAAATGATGTGCATTTCATGCAATATATCTCTGTCATTGAAAGATACAAAAAGAATTCTTGTCTGCTACATACGTCCAGTTTTAACATATGTCTGTAAGACCTGTAAAATCGGTCAGCAGGCCAAACAATTTCTTGAGGCCCGAGAGATATGATTTTACAGAAGGATTCTTAAATTACCTTGGACAGCCAAAAAGAGCAGCCAGAATGTTTTGAAAGTGGCGGGAGCCAGAAGACAACTTATCACAGATATCAGAAGGAGACAGTCATAATTTTTCGGCAATGTCACGAGAAGAAGGAAAAGGGAACATGCTGTGACCACCGGAAAGATCTGTGGAAGTAGGGAATAGAGGAAAACAACGAGAACAGATTCTTCACAGTCTTGTTGCATCGCATGGAGGTGGTGTCAGCACACCCGCTGATTTATGCTGCAGGAGATGGCATACTGTGGAGCGGCATGGTAGCCCATACGGCAGAGCACCTGATTATGATGATGATACATACATACATATTCATACCTGCGTAATGCATATACATATATATATATATATATATATATATATATATATATATATATATATATATATATATTTATATTTATATAGTTGTTCCCCTCCCCCCCCACCTTCTTTTAAAAACCATACCCCCCCACCCCCACCAATAGTCATGTCAGTTGTACCTAGCTCACTCCCCCCCCCTCCCCCCAGCAACCCCCTTTCCCCCTCACAGCAATTTATCACCATAGTTCACGTTTTATACACATATATAGAGAGCAATAAGGGAAAAAAATATTAGAAATATGTAATTAAAGCAGTAGAACACAGCAGTTACCTGTAGGAGTTCTTTCAAATAAGCCGAGGTTTTAGCGGAAGGGTAAGCCCAGAATACTTCCAGCCCATCAAATCCTCTGTCTCTTAGAAATCGAACTGCGTTCTCCGAAAATATGCGTCTGCTTTCGGCGGTTTTCCGAGGCACGTTCGAATTCTACAGTGCCTGCTCCATCTCCGCCGACTGAAAGGAGTACCTTTAACACCGGGTTGTACTCTTTTGTTTGTACAACACGCCTATATCTGAAAGAAAGATAGGCAGCTGTAAAATAAACATGAAAAAACGTGCGTTCTTCTTTACAGCATTATAATTGTCATCATCGTCATCATCAGCAGCAGATGTAGAATCATTATCACCATAGCCATCTATTTCTTCTTTACTGGTGCTAGAGAATTTCAGTCTTAAAAAGTATCTTTGTGCACCGTATCACACTTGAATTACCTATACTAATGTTAAATACCCTCAACAGTAGCATATTCCTATTATTCGTTTCCCTTAATTCTCTAATTCGCTTATTTAAGTACTTTATTCATTTTTTTCTGAGCCTTTCAGTCGTGGCACTGAGGAAAAAATAGACATTTCTCACAGATCATGAGGTGCTGCATGAATGTGACAATGAAGAAAGCCAAACTGGCTGCAACTCCTGAGAAATCCCCCAAAAAAAAAAAAAGCTTACATGTAATAGAGTTTTATGCTGTACACGCACTCTTAAACCACTCCACTCCCACCCCCGGGAAAAAGGTAAAAAACAGCAACACTAATTATTTAAATCAAAAAAAAAAAAAAAATTACACATACAAAAACACTGGAACGTTCTCTAAAGAATGTCTCTCGTTTCCCTTTTGGTTCTCCTTCTGTTGATAGGAAACGCTCAGCGCTACAGAGTTCACTGTGTCTGTCTCTTACGTGCAACAAGACTTCGTACAGACTTCCCGTTCGCTGCCTGTATCAGCATTGAACCGTTTTCTAAGTGCATTCTTGTCTGCTCTGCACTTCTCAATGTCCCTTTATCTTCTGCTTTTACCTTGCATGACGCTCGTCTGCGTCTTCTCGACTGTCCCGAACTCGCTGGAACAGTGCTCGTATATTATTTTATTAAACCGCGTTAGCTTGTCACCTAGCGATATTTTCTTAATTTAATGATTTATTTTCTCACACAGTGTACCCTCCAGCTTGCACCACGACACCCTATCGCTTGCAGGTGGAAACGTAATCTTCGAACGCTCTTCTTCAGGAATCATCAAACTTTCGCCTCCGTAGTCTACGTCATCGGCCTCTCCGAGCGTGTGGGTTTCACTCTGCACGTCTTTCCCTGACAACTCAGTAACTACCACGGGTGTAGTAGCTATGCGACGACGCTTACTGCATGGCGCACGCTCAAATTTCATCCTATCGGCATGAGTTCTCAGACCATGCTACCCCGTGAAGCTTTTTCCACATGTACATTGCCAACCCGGACAGTGGGAAGAAATCTCACTCCGGGTGCTAGCGGGGTCGTTACGATTAGATTCTATCGGGTTGGGTGCATTATTATCCCTCTCTTTCGATGAACCTTGAGAGCATATTTTTATTTGGTTTCTGAAATCTGAGGTATTATACTGTGTTAGGGGTGATCGGCCCCGATCCACAGTCGACTCTCTGTTTCCAGAGAGCCAGTTTACACCTTGATGCTGCCGGGACGCCAGTCTTTCCATAGGTGTCGAAAGGTCTTTCCATATCGTCACCAGTACTATCCTGGTTGTCTGTGGGCTAGGCAGGTACAATATGAAGAACTCCACAGGGAAACATGTACAGCAGGAGTCTACAAATCATCAGTAGAAGTGATCCCTCGTCCACAATTGTTTCGGCCCACGATCTCCTAGACAATTTCAGAGGTTGGGCCCACCTGAGTTCATGAAGCTCATGCTTGATCTGCTCCTGCTGTAGTTATTACCTGGTGTTCTCGGAAAGGAACAAGATGAAATTGGTGACTAAGCAACAGGTACTGTGAGATTCAAAGTTTATTTATAGTAGCTGAGCTGACCTATTACATCAGTATATCGGTATATCATGACGACCAAGTGGCAAGCTCACGGTTGGTTTATCAGACACATGTTAGACTTCGTTGGCAACTGGAAGAGGAACACTGGCAGATAATTCGGACAGGATGGTCTTAAAGGAAAAGACATTCTTTCTGGCCAGACACCTTAACCAGCCTACCGAGGCCCGTCCCCCACGAGGTTTCGTTGTGTCCAGAGCCAGCTCAGAGCCCTTTCAGCAGCTTCGCTCAGTTGTTTTTGTGATCGCTTTGTTTGCGCTCGTTTCCCCGCAAGCCCAGCTGCTTAATCACATTGTACATGGAAGTGGAGAGTAGACCTCTTGCGCCTGCCTCGACGGCGAAGATTCTTACTGTGTCCGCTTTGTCTCTCCTCAGATCAGCCGCGAGGTCACTGTATTTCTCGACTTTATACAAGTGACACTCGTCCATTCGCGACTCATACGGCCCGGTCATCTCAATCAGGATGAGCTGTCGTTTTTCCGCAGATCGTAGAACTATGTCGTATCGCAGGCCAGTCTTCCAGGTTAACTGTGGGTACTTTTCGTGACCAGGCAATTCGAGCGCCAGTAGCCAGTCCCTCGAAAGTCAAGCATCGATGGAGCGTGTGCGACCTTGTTGAATTTACCATTATAAATCTGCTCAGCCTTGAGGAAGCGCACGGGGATATCCTTAGGACTGGCCCTCGCATTGGCCCTCATCCTAGCTTGGTCCACAACGTCCGCTAGCTCTTTCAGGACTTTGTTGTGGCGCCAAGTATACCTACCATGACCTAGGGCTTTTCTGCAACAGACTGAAATTTAAAATAGTTCATCTATTTTAGGTTCTCATATTATAGATGGATATCGATTTCCATTATGCAAAAGCACCGTATATTTTATTTGATTAATCTTCGTCCCAATATATATCGTATTTAATTTTTTATTTTAAAGCTCCAACCCGGCTTGTTATGGGGACCCTAACATAGCTTACCGGTTGGAAGGGGTTTCTGGGACTCTCATCGGATTCTAATCCAATTGTTGACACGTTGTGTCACCGAGTGTTACCCTCTCGTTGGGCGGTCCTGGTGAGGTTGAATGTAACTCACTCACTCAAAAGCCTTGTATAAAAATAGTTGCCATTGATGTTGAGCTACTTTATAATACAGTGACGTGGTTAAGACTCTCTGGCGTCAAATGCACAGTATAATATAAAAAATAAAAACAAAAATAAAAACAAGGAAACATAAAAAAGGAGGCGTGGTTACGGTGCGCAAAAAAAAGGGGGGGGGGGGGGATGTTGAGGTTCTGGATGATATTTAGATATCCAACAATTAAGGCGGACATAGGCGGACTTTTATTGAGGTGGCAGCTGTACTGTTAGCACGCCGTTATTTTGGTGGCCACTGAAAAGGGTGAGAAACACGTGCGGTAATGCCCCGAGTACAGTGATGCCAGTCCTTGATTAATTTATTAACACTTCCCTAGATTTGTGTGTATGTTTATGTTTAAAACATTCTGCTGTTGAAAATGTGGCTTTAGTAGTATAGGATGGCAAAGGCGTTGCGAGTCTGACTCGTAATCCAACGGACCGCGATCGAAACCCACTGCGGGCTGCGTGGATTTTTATCGTAGTATGGGACGTCGCAAGTCGACCCAGCCTCAAATGGGTACCAGGATAGGCTGTCCTGGGAAAGTAAAGACGACCGGCGTAATGCTGACCACATTACCCACCGAGTGCCGATTGGTCTGTAAAATATAGGTGCTCTTCCAATATGCCCGATGCCTAAGAGCGTGTAAAGGGATCTTTACTTTTTTTTTTTAACTTTTAGTAGTTTAGGAAGGATGATCTGAGTAGGCATGGCTCCTTGAATAGCTTGAGACAGTAGACGAACCATAGATCCTATACGTGCAAGACCAAAATGACGTCGTGTCGGCTTGTTATCTGGGACATTATCCAAAATGGCGTCGTGTCGGCTTGTTATCTGGGACATAATCCAAAATAGCTTAGTGTCAGCTTGTTATCTGGGACATTATCCAGAATGGCTTCGTGTCAGCTTGTAAGCTCAAGGTTTTTAATGGTCGGCAGAGGTCAGACTCACATACCTCGGTAGTGCATTGTCTGAGAGTGTCACCGTCGACGATGAAGTAAGCACCAGGATCTGTAAATTCAGTTTCACAATTGCCAGGTTGTGCAGGAATGTCTGGGATTGTAATGGTATCAGTCTGCAAACCACACTGAAAGTGTACAGTGCTGCAAGTGCTTCCTTAGCTAATGTATGCTGTGAAACCTGGACTGTATACAGTCGTCGTGCAAAACAAAACTCGACCACTTCCATGCGGTCTGTCTGAGAGAGATAAGAAACATTGAGTGACAAGAAACGGTCTCAGGCGCTGTCCTGCTAGGCAGGTCTGGCGTTTCCAGCGTTAATGCCATCCTTATGCAGTCGCAGATTCGATGGTGCCATTATTTTTGAATGCCATACCATCGACTCCCAAAAATAATCTTCTATGACGTTTTTATAGAAGCGGAGAAAGCGCTTCAATGACACATTAGGGGCATCATTGAGGGCCTTGAGTTTAAACCCTGATACCCAGCAAGCTGCAGCACAAGACCGGACTTTATAACGCACATGTATCCTAGAAGGTGCAAAATCTGCGAGGCATCTAGAACAAAGGCATCTGAACAGCGAAGACAGGCTAGAAACAACCGCCAAACAGACCCTTTGTCTGCAGACACTGAGCCCTGTCCTCATTATCCAAAACCGGGCAACTATGTGACTTTCAAGTCACCTCCGAGCTCACACAAATTCAACTGCAGTTTCATGAGACATGAAAGAAAGAGTGGTCCTCATCACTTGTGATTAACGAACAAAAAGGGTTAGTGAGGGAAAGGATATGTGTGCAACAACTTTTATATAATGAAAAGAAACAACAACAACAACAACAAAATAATAATACAGTTAGATTAATCCCTGTTGACTTTTACATAGTCAAGTATTACAAGGAACTTTTTCAATGTGACTTTCTGTCTGTCCGTCTGTCCTTCTGGCCATCGATCTGCCTATCTCTCAATCGATATACTCGTATGTCCGTCTCTGTACTACTATTTGGCTGTGGATCCACTGGTCTGTCCATATGTCTAGCTTTTAGATAATTTGTTCTTTCATCTTTTTGTCTCAGTGTCTGTCAGTTTGTTTTTCTATCAGTTTGTCCGCCAGTCTATTTGTGCGTCGACCTGTAAACCAGTATAAATGTTGGTCTGTCCTTCTGTCTTAAAAAACTGTCGATACGTCGACTCACCACTATAGGAATGTTTGTAATTAATTAGTATATTTACTGGTTGTTTTGCATATCGCTTATCCATATAGCAGCAGTTACTGAGAATAGTTGAAAAGCTCTATTACTAAAGTACTATTAATGCTCTGTATTATATGGAAAGTGAAAACAAAAATACAAATATGGAGGATGTAATAAAATAAATTGATTCGGTAAGATAACTGTACTATCCCAGGCAGAAGGAGACAGTCTAAATTGTTGGTTACATCGTGAGAAGAGGAAACTTCATGACAGTCGGAAAGTCGCGGGAAAAGAAAAAAAAGGACGTCTAAGAGAGCAAATGATAGGCAGTGTGGCATTGTTTTATGCAAAAAACCTATGTGGGAAAATGACTGAATACCCAAGAGACAGGCGGTGGTGGGGGAGGAGGAGGGAGTTGCGACTCCAACGCTGCATTCACTTATGCATATAATATTATTTTATGATTCAATTACGTACGACAGCAACATTAAAGATGGGGTTTTAAAACTAATTACTTCAAAGGGAAGTCAGAAGGAAAAAAGCCTCTAGGTACTCAAGGGATATAGCTCCAGCGAATGTTAACTTTCAGGGATTGTGGTGTAAATTATTTGAAATGCGTGGAAACATTATCCGCAAAAAAGCACTGTTAAAATGGGAATTGCAGTCAAAATGTCTTTTGCAAATTCGACCCCTCTAGTGGTCACTGTTAATGAGAAGTCGATATGAGACTGAAAAAGAGAGAGAGACAGAGAGAGAGAGAGAGAGAGAGAGAGAGAGAGAGAGAGAGAGAGAGAGCTGGATTTTTTCAGTTTTTCAATCTAGATAATAGAGGACAGTAGGACATGTTATTTTCTAAACCAAGAACACAATGTATTTTTTTTACTAATTGTCCCCTTGGGGAATGCAATGTTGTGTTATTTGAAACCCCACCCTGACTTTTGCCGGGGGCCCTAAATATAGCTGGGCCACAATTGTAACCATGACGGTTGAAACGGGTTTCTGGGACCTCTCCACGGGTGATCATCATCCTCATAGTGGCACTTTGTGCCACCGGGTGTTTATCGCTTGTGTGATGTCCTGGTGTGGTACAACAAGCAAGCAGCAAGAACACAATATGGTTTATAAAGTCGTCCCCATGTGGGATGCTTTTTTTTTTGGGGGGGGGGGGGGGGGAAGCACCACCCTGGCTTTTGCAGTGGGCCCAGAATATAGCGGGGCATAGATATGGCCTAGCCATAGATATGGCCAAACCGCTGAAAGAGGTTTCTGGGACCTCTCCAAGGGTGATTCTCATCCGCATGTTGGCACTTTGTGTCACCGGGTGTTATTCGTTTGAGTGATATCCTGGTGGGGTACAACTACCTACCAGGAAAACAATATAAATAATTCTGAGGGTTTCAAAGTAACACAATTCTTTGCGGTTGGATGTGCTCAGAATACTTCGAGCTCGTCGCAGCTCCTCTTCTCTCTTAGAAGTGGCACGACCTTCTATGACAACATACACATCAGCGTTTTCAGAGAAAGCTTTGAATTCTACGGCATGGCCATAAAACGTTATGATATATATATATATATATATATATATATATATATATATATATATATATATATATATATATATATATATATATATATATATGTGTGTGTGTGTGTGTGTTGTGTGTATTTATTATTTTATATATATATATATATACATATACATATATATATATATATATATATATATATATATATATATATATATATATATATATATATATATATATATATATATATATTATATATATGCACACACAAATAAATATATACAGACTTACAATCCATGCTCCCATGGTTTGGATTCTTCCTCCGGAAACTTAGCCACAATATTCTTATTGCTAACCACCGCATAGGCGTAGATAATGTGGGTGCATAAATTAGGATCGATATCTTCAGGAATGAATTTCCCGGGTCCTGGCCTGAATCTAGACCAGTTTGTCATATAGCAGACAAGGCGATTTGTACCTGATTTTATAGACAAGACAAATAAAATATTACAACTGAGCGAATTTGAAAATCATTGGTATTGCGGGTCTATTCGAAAGATTTTTGTTTTTTGTATTCTTAACAATGCCTAAAAATGTGTTGCTTGTAAGCAATATATATATATATATATATATATATATATATATATATATATATATATATATATATATATATATATATATATATATATATAAGTGATGTAAACGACGTATATCATGTGATACCCTGTAGGTCGTGCATATCTTTATTTCCGTTCACTGTCATGTTTACTGTTGGCCGCGCCTTTCAATTGTGAAGCACAATAGATTTTTTTTTCTCCAAATGCTTATGTCCTGGACTATCGGTAGGCAGGGCAAACAATTCCTTGAGGCCTCAGAGATGTTGTTTTACAGAAGAATGCTTAGAATATCACGGACAGCCAAAAAGAGCAACCTAGAGGTTTTGAAAGAGGCGGGAGCCCGAAGACAACTTATCACAGACATCAGAAGGAGATAGTCATCATGTTTCGACAATATTATGAGAAAAGGGAGAATAGAACATGTTCTGACCACTGGAAAGATCTGTAAAAGGAGGAGTTGAGGAAGACAACGAGAGAAGATTCTTGGCAGTCTTGTTGCATAGAATCTAGGTGTGTCGGCACACGGACTGATACATTCTGCAGGAGATCGCAGATTGCGGAGGGGCATGATCACCCACGCCAGACGGCTAGGCACTTGATGGTGATGATGAGACAAAACTCTGTGTGTGTTGTCCATCAAGATGATGAGGACCACTCTTTTTCATCAAGTTCGAGTACGAAGATGACTGATGAGGCCGATGCGGGGCCAAAATATTCTTGAACAGTGAGGACAGGGAATGAGCGTTGTGCCAGGGAGGAGATCTCCTGCAGTCGCCTTTCTGTCCATCCTTTTCCTTGTAAGTCTTGCTGTCTGTTTGCTTCACATGTAGCCGCGCCCTAGTGTAGAACTGCACACCATACATTTCGGTCTTAAGAGGCAACCTCCCAATTGGTGGCATTCATTCCAAATGCTTTGAGTGATGACTTCCCATTTTGCAGCTCACCATAGAAGATTTTTTGGGGAGCCTGTTATCTGGCATGTGCTCCACATGACCAGCCCAATGAATTTGATACTGCATCAGTAGAGTGTGGATGCTGGGCATGGCTGCTTTCTCAAGGACTACGATATCAGGTACTTTGTCTTGCCATCTGATCTGCATTAGTTTTCTAAGGCAGACTGTGTGAAAGTGGTTTAACTTTCAAGCCTGGCGCTAGTATACAGTCCATGTTTCGCATGCGTACAGCAGTGTAGTTAATACAACTGCTCTGTATACTTAAAGCTTTGTCTGCAGGGTTATGCCACTTCTGCTCCCAACATTTTTGTGCAATCTGCCAAAGGCAACACTAGCCCTAGAGATCCTTGCATTTACTTCGTCATCAATTGTGGCAATCTGTGAAAGGGTGCTGCCTAGATAAGTAAATTTACTGACAACGTTTAGTCTGTAGCTGTTCACTGTGATATTGGGCTCGATGTATCTTTGCCCTAGGGCTGGCTGGTGCATAGCTACAGTTTTATCTTTTTTGATGGTGAGCCCAAAGTTTGTACAGGCATCACTGAATTTGTCGATGTTGTGCTACATATCCGCTTTTGTGCTGGCATAAAGGGCACAATCGTCGGCAAACAAGAGCTCCCTGATGGTGTCTGATTTAGTTTTTCTTTTCGCTTTCAGCCTCCTGAGGTTGAACAGCTTTCCATCCATACGGTAATTTATGTTGATTCCAGTGTGGAAAACATGTTAGAATTATGTTCTTGACATTAGTAGTGATAGGCGGTAATACGGCGCGTATTTCAGAAATCGATCTCTCTTTATCCTTAGTAAAAGATGGCGGCCAAAAGTGATTGGTTTCTCTAGGAGGCTGCTCTTTATCCTTAGTAAATATCGATCGGGTAAGCCTCCCTCTTTGTCCTTAGTAAATATCGATCGGGAGGCTGATGACAACACAAGTGATTGGTTTTAGGGAAAGGTATAGGAAATCGATACTTTGTAGATGCATTATTATCTTCATAACTGCAGGTGACAGGTGGCGTTATATAAAACGGGGGCAGGCAGGAACACTATTTAGGTGAGCAGCGGGGGGCAGGGGACCCGGGGCGACTAGGAAGGCGGCATGATGACCGGGGATGTATTAGAAAGGGCAGATTGGGCGCCGGCATCATCATCATCATCTATGTCATGGTAGCGAAGGTCGACCGCTCAACCTATACAAGAGAACAGACATATAAACATCGATATTTTGTCTCTCCCAGGGTATTTTCTTCGGGAAAAGACAAATATTTCTTTAGTGCAGGGCCAGCTGTTGGTTAAAAGTGGCGGATGATTCATTTCCCCACACAGTCTTAGGGATTAGTGTTTTTTTTTTTTTTTTTTCAGGTTGCAGAGGGCGCGGTTCTCTTAGGGTGGGAAGTAATGGGTACCCTGAATTTATAATATTCGAAGGTTCTGATTGATCAGCTGGGGTTTTAGTAGTCAATTCTGATTGGTCAGTATTACCGGAGGGAAAAGGATGGCTATTACAGGAATGTAGCCAGCTGTTTGTACTTTGTAGGGTGTTTTATATAGTTGAAATAATAAGAACAACGCCGTGTGGTATTCAACAGACTTTTATTTATTTGAAACATGCTCAATATACATAGCGGGTATTATAAGTTATGAGATGCACTTGATACAAAGTCAACAGTACAGCAAAAATACAGGGGTGCCATAAAAGAGACAATGTTTTTAAACCAAACGGGTAAATATACAATGAAAGCACAGGGGTAAACGACCTCCAGCTGCATCAAGTAATTATTACAACTTCACCCGACCGACGCGCCATCTGTTGTGATCTGAATCGATGTCAGGTTTTTGTCATTTTTCTTGTGTTCTTTTGTGCTTCCGAGTCTGTGAAAAAAAAAAAAAAAAAGCAGCGGCGTCTCCTGTTTGTTTGTTTTTTGGTGGGTGGCTAGTTTCGTTGGGGACGCAAGAAGATTTGTGGATTTTCCTATCTGGTGTCCCTCGTGTGTTCTGTTTTCCCTATCTATAATCATCTTATATAGTAGGCTGCTGTTTATGATCGGTTATGGGTATGATACAGGGAAAAGAAGCCGCCTGTTCGATATGTTTAAAGACGGTTTGGGTCCCACGAGCCGCTGACCTAGCCTCTCAGATTGTTACAGGGTAACTCTTATGACATAGCTGTGTTCTCCCGCCCCTAGAAATGCTTCAAACACGATCGGTGTGGGTATGGTACCGCACTAACGGAGGACATTGCTGTTGTATGTCGCTTCCGATGTCGACATAACAAGACCACCCAGGGCCACCTATGTTTTGCACGAATACGACGCCGCTGTCTTTTGTGTTATTAAAACGTCGGTATTAATTATTCAGAGAGAAAACCCGTAGTTATATGTAACAGGTGTCAGGACGCACGAGCAACGAAAAAAGGTATGAGCTGAAAAAGGAGCAACTTACAGATGGCGCGATACTCACGAGCAACAAAAATTCATTACTCCCTATCTGAAGGCTTTCAGTCCTCATTCAGATCAACGGATCTATACAATTTAATACGCACAACGCCTGTATAAGCGAGCAGCTGGGACAATTTCTCCGTTATCGCACATAACACTGAATAACTAGCTTGGAATTATAAATAATGTAGACAGATATGACTCGAGCGATATTACCCATCACACAAAAAGGACAATAATATCACTATTGATTTTTACGTCTGTTTTTTAAAACCCAGACAACGAAAAACGACAGCTGTTTTTTTTTTTGTTTTTTTTTTTTTTAATTTAACGAGCATTTGAGGATAAAACCACCACATACACGTTTTGGGTTTTAGTCTACGCAGTACCGCCGTTTGAGGAAACCAGTTTGTTAAAGTAAAGTTTTAGTTTAAAATTGTTTTTTAAAAAGTGTTCACGGTTCGTAAGTAAATGTTTTTTTATTTTATTATTACTACTGTTTCTACCTCTCCGCAGATCATATGTGGTTTGACAACAGACCGCCCTATAATCGTTTCTCGGTGTACGCATAAATCTCTCTCTCTCTCTCTCTCTCTTTCTCTCTCTCTCTCTCTATCTCTCTACCTCTCTCTCTCTCTCTCTCTCTCTCTCTCTCTCTCTCTCTCTCCCTCGTTGGTCGTTAAGTGGGAGTTTTGTTTCTCTAGGGGAGTCACCCCGGCCTAGCGGCTAGACACTCGCTGCGGATCGGTAGGTTGTGGGTTAGCTCCCTGACTTAGCCGGACTGTTTTTTTTTTTTTCAGAAAGGCCCTTAGCTTTCCGGGCGACCCGGCCTTGCGTGCGTACCGGGTGCAGTCCCAGGACAACGAAGGCGGCCGGCATGATACTAAACACATCACCCATCTTGTGTCAATTGGTGTGTAAAAATGTGGGTGCTCTTTCAATATGCACTATACATCTTAAAGCGTGGAAAAGAGTCCTTTACTTTTTTTTTCTTTCATAGAGACAGTGAGTGCGGCTATAACGCCGGCCGTGTTTACAGCCCTGGTCTTTATTAACTTTACAGATCTGATTTGTTTGGTGTGCCGCTCTGGTAAAAAAAAACACAAAAAAAACAAGACAGAGCCGACTGCTCGGTCCTTTAAATAATTTATAAGGCGCCCGCACAAGCGTTCTGGGAGAAAAAAAAAAGTTGTGGTTGTTCGTCCCTTACTGAGCCAGAAGCTGAGCGTTGCAGCCCCGGTACAGCTAGGGCTAAGGCAGACGGTTCCCGGTCTCAAAGGTAGCGGGACTCTCACGTTGAAGAAGCCCTCCCCGACATAACTCCAACGATAGACTTGGTGGGTGTTTAGTTGATTTCCTTCTTGTTTCCCCCACAATACTGTCCCCATAACCCACACTTGCGATCTTTGCGTCACCTGTTCTTCTGGTCTTATAGCTGTTTTATTTTTCGCGCAGATATCTTGTGTGTGTGTC